GGATGATGCAGGACACTTACTGGAAACAAATTCAGGCTCTGTGTACACTAGCATTTTTTGTAAGCTCTTAGAACAGTGGTTCTCAACCTTTCTAATGTCGTGACCCCTTAATACAGTTCCTCATGTTGTGGTGACCCCCAACCATAAAATTATTTTCGTTGCTACTTCATAACTGTAATTTTGCAGTGGGAGGACTAGTGCCCCATCACTGATGTCAGTGGGATGAATAGTGTCCCATCGTTGGTATCAGTGGGAGGAATAGTGCCCCATCATTGGTGACAGTGGGAGGAATAGTGTCCCATCATTGGTGTCAGTGGGAGGAATAGTGTCCCATCATTGGTGTCAGTGGGAGGAATAGTGCCCCATCATTGGTATCAGTGGGAGGAATAGTGCTCCATCATTGGTGTCAGTGGGAGGAATAGTGTCCCATCATTGGTGTCAGTGGGAGGAATAGTGCCCCATCATTGGTATCAGTGGGAGGAATAGTGCCCCATCATTGGCATCAGTGGGAGGAATAGTGCCCCATCATTGGCATCAGTGGGAGGAATAGTGCCCCATCATTGGCGTCAGTGGGAGGAATAGTGCCCCATCATTGGCGTCAGTGGGAGGAATAGTGCCCCATCGTGGGTGTCAGTGGGAGGAATAGTGCCCCATTGTGGGTGTCAGTGGGAGGAATAGTGCCCCATTGTGGGTGTCAGTGGGAGGAATAGTGCCCCATTGTGGGTGTCAGTGGGAGGAATAGTGCCCCATTGTGGGTGTCAGTGGGAGGAATAGTGCCCCATTGTGGGTGTCATTGGGAGGAATAGTGCCCCATTGTGGGTGTCATTGGGAGGAATAGTGCCCCATTGTGGGTGTCATTGGGAGGAATAGTGCCCCATTGTGGGTGTCATTGGGAGGAATAGTGCCTCATCATTGGTGTCAGTGGGAGGAATAGTGCCCCATCATTGCATTGGTGTCAGTGGGAGGAATAGTGCCCCATCATTGGTGTCAGTGGGAGGAATAGTGCCCCATCATTGGTGTCAGTGGGAGGAATAGTGCCCATCATTGGTGTCAGTGGGAGGAATAGTGCCCCATCATTGGTGTCAGTGGGAGGAATAGTGCCCCATCATTGGTGTCAGTGGGAGGAATAGTACCCCATCATTGGTGTCAGTGGGAGGAATAGTGCCCCATCATTGGTGTCAGTGGGAGTAATAGTGCCCCATCATTGGTGTCAGTGGGAGGAATAGTGCCCCATCATTGGTATCAGTGGGAGGAATAGTGTCCCATCATTGGTGTCAGTGGGGAGAATACTGCCCCATCATTGGTGTCAGTGGGAGGAATAGTGCCCCATCATTGATGTCAGTGTGGTGGAGGGGGGAATAGTGCCCCATCATTGGGGTCAGGGGGGGGAATAGTGACCCATCATTGGTGTCAGTGGGGGGGGGGGAAATAGTGTCCCATCGTTGGTGTCGGTGGGGGGAGGAATAGTGCCCCATTCTTGGGTGTCAGTGGGGGGAGGAATAGTGCGCCATCGTTGGTGTCAGTGGGGGGAGGAATAGTGCCCCATCGTTGGTGTCAGTGGGGGGAGGAATAGTGCCCCATCGTTGGTGTCAGTGGGGGGAGGAATAGTGCCCCATCGTTGGTGTCAGTGGGGGGAGGAATAGTGCCCCATCGTTGGTATTAGTGACACAAATGATGGGGCACTATCCCTCCCACTGACACCAATGATACTTACCTTGCTGACTCCTGCTCCAGCCTGGGCTTGCTCTCTCCCTCTCCCATCTACAGCCTGCATACCTGGCTGCAGCAGCAAAATTTGTACTTACCTGTCAGCTGTCTTCCTTCTCTGGCCTCTCTCTTCACTCGCTCCTGCAGCTCCCTCGATCTTCTTTGATCTCCGCGCGCTGCCGCTCGGCTCCTCCTCTCCAAGCTCCACCTCCTCGCCGGTGATTGGCCGCCTGTGTGCCTTCCTGAGCTACAGTTTCCGGTGGCCAATCAGCGGCGAGGAGGCGGAGCTGTTGAGTGATCCCGGAGGTGTGGCGAGGTGACAGGGGCAGCGTATCATCCCGCCCCCACACATCGCCTGAGACAGGAGCGGTGTTTCGGTTCCTAAGACCATCGGAAATATGTGTTTTCCGATGGTCTTAGGCGACCCCTGTGAAATGGTCGTTCGACCCCCAAAGGGGTCGCGACCCCCAGGTTGAGAACCGCTGTCTTAGAAGATAATATGAGCATTTTTTTCTGCTCCTAGAAGCTAATAGTGTTATCCTATGTGTCCATGCACACTATTTTATGCTAGAAGCATTTTTCTAGGAACAGAATAAAATTGTTTTTGTAGAGTTTTTAAGAGCATTTTCCTGGCAGAAACAAAATGCTGAATGCTCCTAAATGCTACTAAAATGCTCTCAACAGTATCTGGTCCCTACACGTCTTGCTAAAATGTACCCTTCTGTGTCACGCAGCTGTTTTCGACATTGTGGACAAGAGGGTACTATGCTCCACATATGGTGGAGATGCCCTGTGGTGACTAGGTTTTGGATCCGTTTATTTAATTTCCTTTATTTCGGTAACGGGGGGTTAATATTCGTCGATCCCCTGAAATAGCTCTATTTCATTTATTGCCCACTGATATTCCTAAGAAATCGTTTATACTGATTCTTTATATCCTGTTGGCGGCGAGAATTACGATAGCCAAACGCTGGAAACAGTCAACAATTTCGCTGGAATCAGTCAAGCAGAAACGTAATTGGATTATGATTAACAATAAACTTACTGGGATACTTAACCTCCCTGGCGGTATTCCCGAGTGTAGCTCGGGGTAAAATTTCAGTACCAAAAGCGGTAACCCTAAGCTACACTCGGGCTTACCATGTGGCGTTGCTCAGGGATTCCCTGCAGCGCTTACCTTGTCCTTCGCTCCCGCAATGTGTTCCCTGCAGCGTCCTCGGCCATCTCCTCCGGCCGATGCCGGCATCCGGCTTCCGTGTTCTGGTCCCTGTGACGTCGGGACGTACGAGCGCCGGAACCGGCGGCAAATTTGAAATTTTTAAAAAATTTAATTTTTTTTAAAATGATTATTACATAGTGAAACATTGCTGTTTCAAACCATTTCACATACATTTTGTCCCTACTGCTTTGTCCTGTGCCCTGCCTGCATTTTGACTGTTCTTTCTGCCTGGAAACTGGGAAAAGTCCATGGTGTCCAAAAAGCATCTCTTTAGGTCAAAATCGGTTTTAGACCAGCTACAGAACAGCGATAGTAAATCAGAACCACTTGCAGAATTAAGTGATAGTGATTTGTGGGGAAATTCGTCATCAGACACTGAAAACGATTTTGCAACTTTGCTCAGTGATGTGCGAACTTGGTGCTATATTTCAAATTTCATTGTTTTTGGTTTGATTATATTATTGAATTAAATTTATTATTATTATATTATTATTTTTATGATTATTTATTAAATTATAATTTATGATTTTGTGTTTCAAGTTTTATCATATCCGGAATGTTTACTAGACTCTTGTTCAGACAGATTTCAGTGAGTTATTCCTTTCAGCACCAAAAATCTGAAATAATCATACTGCCAGGGAGGTTAACAACAATACTTCTACATTTGAGAGCGCTTGGGATCCATGGATTCAGTATATTTCTGCTATTTCACGGACTCTTGGCTGGCCCTCTCTTGTATTTCTTTTCTGAGTTTTATTGTTTATTTTCTTCTTCAGTTCTTTCCTCATTTTTTGTTCTCTATATTTTTGTCTATTATTTTAATGATATTATTCATATCACCTTGTTTATGGAGCAATTTGCTCATAATCGATCAAACTTTGTTTGTGCTACCAGTGTATTCCTCATTACGCTCTATTGGTCGATTTTTTTTTGTTATGTTGCTACATATTGTACTTGAATTTACTGTTTTATTGCTTATGTTCTGCAACTCGTCATGTTGGTGGGTTGCATCTCCTGTCTTTCTGTATAATGTTTCTAAAAAAATAATTAATAAATATATTGAAATATAAAATGCTCTTAACAGCTTTTTTGAGTGTTTTTTTTTGTTCTGTACAATAAGTCCTTATGTACACGTTAGAAAAAACTCTATTAGAAGCCTTCCTCCTGGCAGCAGCGTTTTTTCAGAAAAAACGCCTGACACTTGTAAAAGTATCTAACACTTTTACAAGCGTTTAGGAGCTTTTACAGGTGTCAGTTGCTTGGGTGCTTTTTCATTTCAACATTTCATAATTTATTCTGGCCATTGAAATGAATAAACGCTCAGGAGCTAAGCATGCCTAGCGTTAACAGGCGTTTAAGTATGTTTAGATGTGTTTACATGCGTCAAGCATTTTTCTGCCAAAACGTTCCTGCCACTAAAAGCTGCTAAACGTCTATGTGTGCATGGACACATAGGATAACATGGAAGGCTGTTTAACCACTTGCCCTCCAGAGCAGGGGCGGACTGACAACTCATGGGGTCTCTGGGCATTAGGGGATCATGGGGCCCCTGTGTCCTTGCCCAAACTCAAAAAATCCTATGAAAAAGGTACCAAGGGCATCTCATGGGGCCCCCTACTGACCCCGGGCCCTTGGCCAGTGCCGGAGTTACCAAATGGTCAGTCCGTCCCCGCTCCAGAGGATGTACCCCCCCCCCCCCTTCCGAACAGGCCATTTTTTTGCAATACGGCATTTCGTTACTTTGACAATTGCACGATCATGCAACGCTGCGCCCAAATGAAATTTAGGTGCACAAATAGAACTTTCTTTCATTGGTATTTGATCGCCTGTGCATTTTTATTTTTTTGATGACTTTTTGCTAGTATAAAAAATTTTTTAAAAAAATCTAATTTTGTCATAAAGTTTGGACAAATCTATTCTGCTACATTTGCTAAAAAAAAAATCTCAATATGTAGGGGTTTCCTAATTTAGAGGTTCAGATTTAAAAGCAAGTCATTGTTAGGAATGCCTCTTATTGTGACACATTTAGTCTGTACACAAAAGCACACAGTTATCTGTTTGTTTCCTCCTAAAGGGTGAAGGACTGCAGTGGAGTATGGCAAGAGCTAACAGATGCAGTATTTAGGAAAGAGCCATGTAATATCACGGAGGAAGACTACAAAAAACTAGCCCAAGTGACTGCACAGACCATACCATGTGATAAGGTAATGACATTTAATCATCTTACAAACCCACACACAATTAGGAAGGTTAGTGACACATGGACATCAACACATGGACATCAACACATGGACATCAACACATGGACATCAACAACACATGAACATCAACACATGGACATCAACACATGGACATCAACACATGGACATCAACACATGGACATCAACACTACCTTCTCCATCCATCAGCCTTTGACCTGAATGTTGTTGGAGATGTGGACTGTGCTGTGTCAATAGTTGCAATGATTTGACTTGGCAAGAAAGCATTGTCAGCACAGACTGAAAAGAGCCTAAAAACACAAGTGTTGGACCATATTCTGCACCCAGCACCTAAATAAACCCAGCTTAAACCTGGCCATACAGTACATGGATCGAAATTCGGGACTAGACAAATTTCATGCCATGTATGGCCACTCTGGTTGTACACAAGTCAGTCTATCATGTACAACCAGCCTGTTGGAAAATGCTCTCTCGATCAGCGCTCCCGGTTACAGCTGGCGGTGCTGCTGATTAGTGTATTCTGATGGTGGGGTAGTCTCTCTGCTGTCAGAATGCAAAGGCTCATTGGGAGGGATTTCCCCATCCACATCGAGTGTGTGGATAGGGGAACTGAGTCATTTTCTTTCATTCAACCCGTCAGGGTTGTCAAACTGGCAGCCCTCCACCTGTTGTGAAACTACAAGCCCCATCATGCCTCTGCCTTTGGGAGTCATGCTTGTAACTGTCAATCTTGCAATGCCTCATGGGACTTGTAGTTTGGAAACAGCTGGAGGGCCACCAGTTTGACACCCATGTGCTAGATGAACAAAAAAATGGCTCATGTATGGACAGTCCTAGGCTAGCCATACACATTAAAGAGGAATTAAATCCAAAACCAAAAATGTAATATATTGCAGCTTACCAATCATTAGATGTGTTCTTTTATAGGAGTTCTTCCCTCTGTTTTTACCTGGTGATCTGGCCAGTAACATATCTCCTGTTCTAGAGTGCCCCCACTCTGGATGAAGGTGCACAGGAGGTACTTTTGGACAGCGGCATTGTCAGTCTGGGGGAAGGGGAGTGTTAGATGCATTAGCAGATTTAAATACATAAACAAATTGAAGCCAAACTCCAACTCACACTTTATAAGTAGTTACAGCGAACAGTTTTCTCCTTTTGGGATAAAGGTTTTACATAAATAAATAAAAGCTTATCATTGTAAGCACCCTTGTCAGTGCTACATATTTTATCTCATCGCTAACTTCAAGGGAGCTTATTCTTTTAAAAAACAACTTCCAGGCTGGATCACCAGATGAAAATGGAAGAAGCCTAAAAAAGAAAACCAATGCAGCCTAACATCTAAGAGTCAGTAAGCTGCAATATAATAAAAGTAAGTTTGCTTTTGGGTTTAATACTGCTTTAAGATTTCATTCTCATTTCATGATCAATAGATTCCACCATCCATGATAAACAGGGAAGAGTGAGGAATCTCCCTTGACGTTCAATAGAAAGTTCCAGCTGTATATGGCAGCATTAGAATTAGAGACAAAGATCCCTTGGCTCTTCATTTTGGAGTAATGGTCCCTCTTTCGGCAGCAGATCCATCTGTTATTCTGTCCACCTCTAGGTCTTATGTATGGACCTGTAGAAGCAAATGTGCTATTTATCAAAGCTGAATTCCAGGTATGGTTTGTATTGCATAGTTACATTGGTCCACTTTGTGAACCTCTTTTCTTCTAACTTCAAGTCATGGCCAACTGTCCTCTTCAGGGACCTTAGTGTGTGAGTAATGTAGTCCTTCTATTGGCTCCGCCAGACAAACCCCTCTTTACATCACAGCACAAGAAATGGCAAATACTGAATGATAAATAGTAATCCAATATTGTGTATGCAGGGCCGGTGTTTCACCTAAGCAAGACCAGCTACTTGCACCCCTTCACCCCCCCCCCCCCCCCCCCCAAACAAAAAAAAACAAAATAAAAAAAAGTATTATATTAAAAGAAGCATATAATTTTATCAGTCCAACTACTGATGATAACTTTTGGAGGGGTCACATCCTTAGAGCTCACGGGTTCATGCTGGGACTTGTAATTCTTCACTTTCAGAGGGGGTGTTTCCCATCCTCGTTTGATGAACTCTGAGGGGGTCATATCTGTGGACTTGTAGTCCTTCACTTGTTGGAGTGTTTCCCATTTGCTCTGAGGGGTTCATGCTGGGACTTGCAGTCCGTCACTTTAGGAAGGGTCACATCCCACATCGAAAGTGACAAGTCCCAGCATGAACCCCTGAGATCTAAGGATGTGACCCCCACAGAAGTAAAGGACTACAAGTCCAGCACAAACCCCTGAGATCTAAGGATGTGACCCCCACAGAAGTGAAGGACTGTAAGTCCCAGCATGAACCCCTGAGAAATGGCTAAGGATTTCAGCCTCACAGGGTGAAGGACTACAAGTCCCAGCACAAACCCTGAGATCTGAGGATGTGACCCTCACACAAAATAAAAAAGTGAAGGACTACAAGTCCCAGCATGAATCCCTGAGATCTAAGGATGTGACCACTTTTTGGGGTGTTTGAACCCACCTGAGATCCAGAGAAGTGAAGGACTACAAGTCCCAGCATGAACCCCTGAGATCTAAGGATTTCACCCTCAGGAAGGGTGAAGGACTACAAGTCCCAGCACGAACCCCTGAGATCTGAGGATGTGACCCTCACAGAAGTGAAGAACTACAAGTCCCAGCATGAATCCCTGAGATCTAAGGATGTGACCCCACAGAAGTGAAGGACTACAAGTCCCAGCATGAACCCTTGAGATCTAAGGCTGTGACCCCACAGATGTGAAGGACTACAAGTCCCAGCATGAACCCTTGAGATCTAAGATTGGACCCCTTAGATCTCAGGGGTTCAAGATGAGAATTCACTAGTTTGGGGGAGGGGGGTCACATCTTCAGCTCTGATGGGTTCATGCTGGGACCTTTAGTCTTTCACTTTTGGGGGGGTCACATACCCCAAAAGTGAAGGACCACATATCCCAGCATGTAACCTGAGATCTAAGGATGTGACCTCCTCCTCACATCCCTCAGCGGGGGTCATCTGTCCTCCACCAGCAGCAGCTCAGCTGTCATCCTCAGCTGTCTCTGCCAGGCTCCCTCATGACATGTGGTTCCATCCCTGACACCCGGCCTCACCTCAGACTGAGTAGACTTGAGATCTAAGGATGTGACCCCCACAGAAGTGAAAGACTACAAGTCCCAGCATGAACCTTGAGATCTAAGGATGTGACCTCTTAGATCTCAGGGGTTCAAGATGGGAATTCACTAGTTGGGGTGGGTGGGGTGTCACATCTTCAGCTCTGATGGGTTCATGCTGGGACCTTTAGTCTTCCACTTTTGAGATGGTCACATCCCCCAACTGTGAAGGACTACATATCCCAGCATGTAACCCAGAGATCTAAGGCTGTGACTTCCTCCTCCCATCCCTCAGCGGGGTTCATCTGTCCTCCTACAGCAGCAGCTCAGCGGTCATCCTTTCTGATGGGTCTCTAACTGGCTCCCTCATGACATGTGGTTCCATCCCTGGCGCCCGCCTCACCTCAGACTGAGTAGACTGAGACTCCCAAATGCTAAACAGGGGGCCGGAGGAGGTGGCTGGAGCTAAGCACTAGGAGTAAGAGGAAGACGTTTTCATCCTTCCCCAAACCCAACCCTAAATGCTGGGGCCTGCATTAGGTGATGTCCCCGGTTGCCAGATGCTAGGTCCTATCAACCAGGCAGTGGGCAGTAGCAGCCAGTGTGGAACAAGGGGAATGGGACACTCATACTGTGAGTGAAACGGCGCTGCAGTGGTCTTTATGGGGGGCATCAGAGTGGCCCAGGGGCAATTGCCACCCTGCCCTGGATGGAACTATAAAATGAAAGAACCCTGGTGCAAAGTATTACTTGGTTGGTTTGGAGCCTTCTTTTACAGAAAACTCTCAGTGTCCTGTTTTGTGCTAATTTTATACCTGAATTCCAGGCCTGGCAATGTTTACATAGTTACATTAGTTCATCTTTGATCAATGTATATGCAAAACCTGTGAGATCCACCTGGAAGCTGGAAATCACCATAGTAGGCACCATTACTACTGCTACAGTGATCCTTGCTGTCTTCCAGGTCTTGTGCTGAGCAGCTGCCTCGATGCATTTTGAACACAGGAGGTCACCCGCTTGGCATGGGTGCCATTTAGAGAACACTTTCCAATTTTTCAGTGAATGCAAAGTGTTCTCTGATTGGACAAGATGGAAATTGTGACATCACTTCCCCACCTCTGTCCTTCTTCCGGTCTAGCAGTGCCTAGTACAGTGATTTCCAGCTTCCAGAGGGATCCCACAGGTATGGCAGATACATACTAAACCTGGCCATACACTAGTAGATTAACCACTTGCCCTCCAGAGGATTTACCCCCCTTCCTAAGCAGGCCATTTTTTTCGTTACAGCACTGAGTTACTTTTGTTGACTATTGCGCAGTCATGCAATGCTGCACCCAAATGAAATTTACATCCTTTTTTTCCCACGAATTGAGCTTTCTTTCAGTGGTATTTGATCACCTGTGCGCTTTTAATTTTTTGCGCTATAAAATAAAAAAAAAAAGCCCGACAATTTTGAGAAAAACCCCCCAATATTTTTGACTGTTTGCTATTAAATATGTCCAGTAAAAAAAAATAAAAACAAAATCAAACTTCGTCATAAATTTAGGCCAAAATGTATTCTGCTACATGTCTTTGCTAAAAAAAAAATCCCAATACATGTAAATTAATCGGTTTACGTGAAAGTTATAGCGTTTACAAATGGCGGTATATATACTGGGATTTTTTCCCCTATCTTTTCTTTTACTAGTAATGGCGGCGATCAGTGACTTATAGTGGGACTGCAGCGGGCATTCTGACACTGGGGGGAACTGACTTAGTGTCACTGACATCCCCATTGACACCAATACAGTGATCAGTGTGACGATCGCGCGGCGTCGGACCCCTGACCTTCTCACTAAACTCATGACCGAAGGACTAGCCAATCTAAAACCGCGATGTCACGTGCATAACAATGCCACGCCCAGCTGCACCCTGCACAATGATTTTCCAGCTAATTGGACAATAATCAATGTACTTGCAGCCTGGGGAGCGTTTATTACTGGGTCAGGTTAATTACGCAATTAACCCTTCACACTGCCACCACTTCCTTTTTGTATAGAGAAAGAGGAAACTCAGCAATACACTAGGATGATTGGTTAATCGTTGGTATACCGCTATCTCCGCGGACAGGTTATACAGAGGGTTAAACACTCATAGTAGCGGCAGGGATTCGTAAGTCACATTTAAAGAGCTATAGAAACAGTTCAACACTTTCAGAAAGTAAGATTTATTACTAAAAGGTCAAAAGGGTGCAGTAGAAATATTTACAGAAAAAAAATATAACCTATATATATAAGTGTATATATATATATATATATATATATATATATATATATATATATACACATATATACACAGAGCACAACAGCACAGCAAACAGATAACAGAAACAAGTTTAGGTAAATAAGTACTTGCCGAAAGATGCCTGGGGTTAAGCAGTTTCAAGACTGATGAGCTCAAAATGGATTTCTGGTCTCACACTCAGTTTCATTGTTACAGCGAGATTCCCCTTTCTCTCTGTCTGCTAGATGTTAAAACACAGAAGGTCCTCGCTTCTCTGTCTACGCACAAAGCATAACAGCTTATTTTACCCAAAGTCAATGGGGTGTCTCTTACAACAAAACCCAATTACCTTATTTGGGCAAAGGATTGTTAGGCAGGGGCTCAGCATCATACACTGATTGCATTCCTGAGGGAGGGGGAAAATCGAAGGAGGGAGACTGATTTGGAATTTAAGAGAAATACCAAAATGCAGAAGTTTGGAGCAAAATGGAGAACCGCGCCTCTCCCTGTGTGCATGATTGTTACAATCAGTGCTAAGAAAAAAGCACTGACACTGTACTAATGGCACTAGGCTGGAAGGGGTTACCATGAGGGGCAATCAAAGGGTTAACTGTGTGCTGTTTTACTATAAGCTGTGTCCGTGTGCTTCACTGTAAGCATAATGCTTTGCAAAGCAGTGTGCACAGCTAATAGGGAGGAGAACTGTTTTGTTTACAAACAGTTCTCCTCCCCATTGGAGATGCTTGGCAAGCACCGGGCACTGGCCTCGCACGTGCCCCCTACCCGGAAATGCTAAATCATGTATATATATGTGATTTTGCACACCCGTGCCACCCTGTAGCAGTGTTTCTGCTATAGGGCGGTATGAATAATCATACAAACATTCGTACAAAAATTCTGATCAGTTAATTCAATGGGCTTAATGAATATCATTTAAAAGTATTTTAAAATGTGCTTACTTTTGGCATTAAATTTTAGAATGAATAGATTTTCCTGAATGACACCAACATGAATAAATCATTCCTAGCAATAAGGGATTTTTACGTTTTGAGACTTTCCTGAACGAAAGCCACATTCATTGTTAGAAATTCATTCAATTGAGAAAAATGTTCCATCCGGCTCCTTTGAATTTTCTTTGAATGTTGATTTGACCTCCTAATGATGGGAATATCAAATAAACGTGAATATTTTTTTCAATGAAATTCTACTAGTTTATGGCCAGCTTTACAGTTGTCCAAACTGAAATTTACATACCTGGAATTCATCAAAGTGGAGTTCCACACAAAAGCGGAAGCTCTGCTTATTTGCCTCCCCCCCTCCACTGCCTACCTTTTGGGGGGGGGGGGGGAGCGGGTACCTGATTTTTATAGGTACCCTCTCACACATCCATTTGCGATGGTGAAGTGAGCCGGAAGTTTGGCCCCCTCCTCCCTCCCGCAGTCTCCTTGGAAATTTCACAGGTCTCAGGAGACTGCCGGAGCAATTAGGAAGTGCAGAGCGACTCGCACATGCTCAGTGGGCACCAGGCTGTGAAGCCGTAAGCTGTCACAGCCTGGTGCCCACAGTTGGGATGCTGGTGCCGTGGAGTAAAGAAGGGGAGAAGGCACTGCGCGGGTGAGTACATGGCTGGACTCAAGGACAGGTAAGTGTGTGCTTATTAAAAGTCAGCAGCTACATTTTTAGCTGCGCTCTCCCATAGAGTTCCATTATATCACACAGTTTTGGTGTGCTTTCTGAAAGCACACCAAAACTCCTGCATGCTTCATCTTTGGTGAGCTTTCAGAAAGTGCACCAAAACAGCGGGAAATAATGCAACTCTATGGGAGAGCGCAGCTAACTCACACCAAACTCGTGGGCAAGCTGTGCTGCTCCCGCGGTGCGGTTAAACTGTGCTGGTACAGTGTGAAAGGGCTCTTATGCTTACTAACCTTTGTATAGTTACCTATTTTCAGTATGCTCTGGACATGTGACTTCCCCTTTGTCAGCCAGTGGTGCTGCAGGGGAAAGGAGAGAGTGCTCGAACAATGACTAGTAAAGCCTGAAGTGGTGACATCACCCATAGACTTCAATGGTCCATCTGTTGTCAGCGCTCCCTCCTCTCCCATGCGTCTGCGCTAGCTGACACAGGGGAGTGGAGTCATGCAACCCAACCGGAGCAGGCTGAAAATAGGTATGTATACAACTCTTTCTAACACAGGATAGTAAGCATAGATGTTAGGAAGGAGGGGGCAGTTTTAGGAGAAATTGGGATTAATCCTGGAATTCCACTTTAACATTTTTTCTTTTTTTTATTGGTTACAGACCAGTATATATTAATACAAAATAGAGTGGAAAAGGAATTGTGAATGAAACAAGACTTACTGTACAGAATACAAAAGTAGCTGAAACCACGTCAGTCCTGTCTTTACAGACTAATCACACAATACAGTACATTCAAATACATAGAATAACTGTGCCCAGAGTCTTCCACCATTGCCTGAATGTATTATGTTTTATTCAAGAGTCTTCTTTGGAGCAGAACAAATGATCTGGTTCATCGCTATACAAAAGCCACAGAAAGTTTTATGACACTGGAGGACACTTTCTTAGGCTTCCTATTCAATGGCCTTACGTGGTGTGGGAAGACTGCTAGTCCAGGTAAACCTTTGGTGATTAAAAAAATATGGAATACTAATTTATCTTTTAAAAGTAAATATGAGGTAAGGAATAGCAACAGTTACACTATAATCCCCTCCTTCCACCCAGAACCAGAATTGTACCTTCACTCTCCTACCACTTGGTTCATATGCTGGGAGTGAAGAGAATCTCTAATATAATGGTCTCCAAGCTGTGGCCTGAGGGCCGGATGTGGCCCCCTGCTTGCCTTTATCTGGCCCTTGGAGCACATTTTCTTACACTGACATAAGACATTATTCATCCCACTGACACCAACAATGGGGCAATATTCCTGCTACTGACATCAACAATTAGACACTATTCCTCCCACAGACACCAACAATGGGACATAATTCCTGCTACTGACATCAACAATGTGACATAATTCCTGCTACTGACATCAACAATGTGACATAATTCCTGCTACTGACATCAACAATGGGGCACTATTTCTGCCATTGAATACAAGGATGGGGACTTTTTCTGCCACTGACACCAATAATGGGGCACTATTCCTCACACTGACACCAATGATGGGGCACTATTCCTCCCACTGACACTAGTGGTAGGGCACTATTCCTCCTCCTAATACCAAACATGCATTGTTTACTCCCACTGACACCAAGACAGTTTCTACTTCTAATGGCCACAGTCCGGCCCCCTAAAAAATCTGGAGAACAATAAACTGGCCTTTTGTTTAGAAAGTTTGCAGACCCCTGTTCTCATACTTCCAAGTATGTGACTCTCCATCTGACAACATTGGTACTTGATGATTGGACCTCCCTCCCTGGTGTCAGGAGAGAGTACCAATCATGAAATGATGGAATAAAATACATTAAATACTATCTAAACACAAGAAAAATAATTGCATATATTGCAGCTTGCCAATCCTTAGATGTGGTGGCTGCATTAGTTTTCTTTTGTGGCCTTTTATTCTCTTTATTTTCATCCAGTGATCTTGCCAGTAATACACTTTCTGACCTAGGGTCACAGCACTTACTCACTGTGCTATATCTATGAAGGAGTAGCACTGTTAATATAGGCTGCTCTCCTGATGTTTACTACAAACACCTCCCCATCTCTATAACATATGAGGAGGTGTTCTGTAGTGTATGTGGGAAGGGGGTGGGACAAGTCTAGATGAGGATTGCAGAACTGGGAGTGGGTACAGGCTAAACACAGTACTCAAAACCCCCCATTCCCCCAAAATCAGCAACTCAGTTACAGGCGAGTAGGAAGGGAGAGAATCAGCAGTGCTTGACTTTTTGAGTGAAATTCCACTTTAAGCTATATTATGGGGAATGTATCAGGAGGGGTGGGAACAAGGTTTTCTGGAACAGGCTTTGGAACTGGGGAGTAGATATTTCAATCCTGGAGTTTCCAAGAAATATAAAATTCCCATAGAATAGGCGACTCAACAATAACTAATATGTCACTCTTGGGTGGACAGACCCTTGAAATATAGATGAATCAGGATTGTAAAGAAAATTGGTGAAAGGTGGACTATGTTAAAAAAAAAGATATTGGGTTTAAAAGCACTTATAAAGTTTCAGTATACAGTATGTTCATTTAGTATACAAATAGAAGCTCCAAAGTTTTCTGCCCATGGAATGTAATGATTATTCTGCTATCCCTGTGATTTCTCTCCTTGCTTATTCACTAACCCGGGACTAAGCATACACAGATCAGGATCTCGGACTTTACTTGCTGCATGCTTGTTCTGGATTGGGGATTTAGAAAATACATAAGGCAATGCAACAACATATCAATCAGGCAACTAATGTTTTAAGAAGAGGTTCAGCAATAGCAGCTTTCAAATTTCCCTTAGTACAGCAATAAGGTCCTGTGTTCCCATCCAGCTTAAAATACTGTATGTAGGGGCCCTTTATAAAGCAAAGTTAGTTTCTCTTTAAGAGTATATGGCAATAAAACAAAAAAGGTTCACTGGGGCACTTTCAGGGCTTTGTATAGGAGACAAATTACAGGTAGAATCTTTTAATGTGGTTTAGGGTTTGGTTGGGGTGCAGCCACCTTTCTCAAGGTGTGCCCCTCTGATATGTACGACGCGTCGGGAAGATTGACTTCATGATATGTTTGACCGCATTATGTCTCTGCAATCCCATTTTTCTCCTGTATAAAGTCATGACATTGCCAGGCGACCTTCATGACATGTTACTCCATTGCATCCAGACACCGCTCTCTCCCAAAAGTTTCTCGTTCAGTAGTTGCTCTCTTTATTTGTAGCAAACATCTTATGACATTCATACTGTAGTAATCATCTTCTGTCAGAAGGTGTTTACTACAAAGAAAGAAAGTAAATATTGAGGAAGAAACTTATTGGAATGCAGTGACTCATCGGCATGATGTAAAACAGGGGTCTCCAAACTTTTCAAACAAAGGGCCGGTTTACTGTCCTTCAAATTTTAGGAGGGCTGGATTGTGATCAGTGGGGGTAGAGAATTTCCTGGGCCCAGCATCAGTGAAAATAAACATGGGGTACTATTCCTCCCATTAATACCCATCATTGGTATTAATGGGAGGAATAATGTCCCATCATTGGTAGCAGCGTAAGAAATAGTGTCCCTTTGTTGGTGTCAGTGGGAGTACCGCATATCATTGGGAGAAATAGTGCCCCAAGGGCCACACAAAGGCTAGCAAAGGGAGACCCCTGATGTAAAATAAATAAATAAAAAAAAAGCATATATATATATATATATATATATATATATACACACACACATATATACACACACATTATATACACATAGGGCTTTTCTCAGAGAAAAGGTGTCAGGTACTTACCACCCCTGCAGGGTCAAGGAGCATATGATGCATAGGATGCAGGGCTTAGAAGTGTGTGGCGCACAGGGTTTAGGAGTGTGTCACACTAGGTGAAGAGTTCAGGAGTGTGCAGGGTTTAAGGTGTCACACAGGGCTCAGAAGTGCATGTCAAACATGACATGTAGGGTTCAAGAGTGTGTGATGCACGAGGTGCACAATTCACACAAGGTAGAGGAGTAGGTAACACACAGGCCATTGTACAACCAAAATTAAACCTCCCAACCCTCCCTGTCCAGAGCTTTCTTCAAGTGCAGAGCTTTCCCCAATCTCCCCCATCTCCCCAATGCAGAGCTCTCTCTCTCATTTTTCCAACCCCCAAGTATAGAGGGAAGCCTAGTGAGCAGAGGCTACAGGCAGGAAAATGTACCAGCATGGGCTGTACTGTATAGTGGGCTTCCAGCTCAAAATGATCTGGATTACCAGGTTGTTAGGTGGGTGCCGGGTGGTGTGGTGCATTGAACACACAGAGTCCTGGATAGTAGAAAACGATGTATTGAACATGAAAAACGGTACAACAACCAGGAAGAGGGAGCACACCCAACTGGGAACTCATGACAGTCAGAACAGAGAGTCCAGAGAGTCAGCAGCAAATAGACTCAAAGGGAGTGGAGTGCAACCTGTCCATTTCAACCCAAAGGGAGCTTGCTCCGATGTAGACGTAGGCCTTAAGCTTTCCCTCCTCCTCTGCAACCTCTCCCTGCTGCTTGTGCTGTCCCTGACAGATGGGTATTCTGTCCCTTCACTAGCCAACTTGCAATTGTGCACCAAAACCCAGGGGCAGGGACCTGAAAAAGACTGCATGACCCATGATGGCCGCCAGGGTCACCTGGATGCAGTGCAGATAACCGGAATGCTGCCCCAGGGGACCGAGGGAATCCTAGAGAAACACAGTTTCTCCTAATTGCCTCCTTTGGCTGCATTGCCATTCTGGATGAGTGCCACCTACAGTGGAGACTGTAGACTGCACCTGACTACAAGGTACAGGCTATAGGCCAGGGTAAGGGAGAGGATGCATATACATACAGGACCAGTGCTGGAGGTGACAGTACCAATGCCAGAGGTTCTCATACTGAATAAGGCATGTTCCAGCTGAAAGAAAACCATATACAGGTGAAACTCGAACAATTAGAATATCATGCAAAAGTTTATTTATTTCAGTAATGCAACTACAAGGTGAAACTAATATATGAGATAGACTCATTACATGCAAAGCAAGATAGTTCAAGCTGTGATTTATCATAATTGTGATGATTATGGCTTACAGCTCATGAAAACCCCAAATCCACAATCTCAGAAAATTAGAATATTACATGCAATCAATAAAACAAGGATTGTACATAGAACAATATCATATAAAGAAGCATGAAGTGCTCCAAAATCTCCTGGTAGATGGCTGCATTGACCCTGGACTTAATGAAGCACAGTGGACCAACACCAGCAGATGACATGGCTCCCCAAATCAACACAGACTGTGGAAATTTCACACTGGACTTCAAGCATCTTGCAGTGTGTGCCGCTCCATTCTTCCTCCATACTCTGGGTCCTTGGTTTCCAAATGAGATGCAAAAGTTGCTCTCATCAGAAAAGAGACTTTGAACCACTAAGCAACACACCAGGTCTGTTTTTCTTTAGCCCAGGTAAGACGCTTCTGACGTTGTTTGTTGTTCAGGAGCGGCTTGACAAGAGGAATACGACATTTGAGGCCCATGTCCAGGATCCATCTGTGTGTGTTGGCTCTTGATGCACTGACTCCAGCCTCAGTCCACTGCTTGTGAAAGTCCCCAACACTTTTGAATGGCCTTTTCCTGACAATCCTCTCCAGGCTGCGGTCATCCCTGCTGCTTGTGCACCTTTTTCTTCCACACTTTTCCCTTCCACACAACTTTCTATTAATGTGCTTTGATACAGCACTTTGGGAACATCCAGCTTCTTTTGCAATTACCTTTCGAGGCTTTCCCTTCTTATGGAGGGTGTCAATGATGGTTTTCTGCACAACTGTCAGGTCAGCAGTCTTTCCCATGATTGTGATTCCTACTGAACCAGACTGGGAGACCATTTAAAGGCTCAGAAACCCTTTGCAGGTGTTATGGCTTAATTAGCTGATTAGAGTAGGACACTTTGAGCCGAGAATATTGCACCTTTTCACAATATTCTAATTTTCTGAGATTGTGGATTTGGGGTTTTCATGAGCTGTAAGCCATAATAATCACAATTATGACAAATCACGGCTTGAACTATCTTGCTTTGCATGTAATGTGTCTATCTCATATACTAGTTTCACCTTTTAAGTTGCATTACTGAAATAAATGATCTTTTGCATGATATTCTAATTTTTCAAGTTTCACCTGTATATATGATTGGTTATTTCTTGCCATTGTGTCCATAGTGTGAGGATTTGGCTGACAGTTCAGGGCTTTGGACTAGATACAGATAATGCTGGGAACAAGCCATTGTGTAACCAAAAGATTCATCAATCTGAAAGCAAGATCAAACAGTGTAACAAAAATCACAGCAACTGCATATGCAATAAAAAAAAACAAAAAACCGTGCAGCAAGGTGTGAGAGCACCATATACAGTGCGCCACTTAAGTTGACCTTACGGCTGTAGAATTTTGCTCAAATGTTCGGACAAGATAATATAACAATTGCTTTATGGACTATACCTGTATAAAAATGCACTATTTATCTAACAATCTTCCAATGGGAACAACACTTCTGGTGTTTTCTTTGTAACAACCAGGGATTTCCTAATTTTGGAGGGATTCCTCCCAGTTCCTGTATTGGCTATAGAACAGGAGATGAAGGGAAATCAATGGGACACAAATGGCAAAAGAGGCAGGGATTATAACCCTCCTTTATTCTATTCAAAATAAAAAATAAGTGTTGCCTTTAGTTCTACATTAAGTGTAAGCTCCATAACTGGACTCTGCAGAGACAGTGTTTATTCTAGGAATGTATTTAATAATTATCAAAGTTGCTTTTGGGTACTTTGTATGTTTATAGTGCTGCTTACAGTATGTCTAAATAATTAGCTACAAATAATTTCTTCTTTTTTTAGGAAGTAAAATTCAGAAGCTATAGTCTTAAAGTGGGTGTAAAGGCTCAAGGTTTTTACCTTAATACATTCTATGCATGAATGTAAAAAAAACCTTCTGTGAGCAGCAGCCCCCAATACTTACCCAGTCCCATCTCAATCAGCTGCCTAGGGTCTCTCCTCGTGCAGTGGCTGGGACAGCAGCAGGAGCCATTGGCTCCCACTACTGTCCATCACAGTCAGTGAACCAATGAGAAGATAGTGGGGCCAAGCTGTGTCTCTATTTATTTTATTTCAGATATTTTTATTGAGCCTTCAATGTATGCAGTGCTTTACATATATATTGCACACTCACATCAGTCCTTAACCCTCAAGGAGCATACAATCTAAGGTCCCTAACTCACATCATACATACTAGGACCAATTTAGACAGGAGCCAACTAACCTACCAGCATGTCTTTGGAGCATGGGAGGAAACCAGAGTACCTGGAGGAAACAGGCATGGGGAGAACAAACAAACTTCAGGCAGGTGGTGCCATGGTTGGGATTTGAACCAACAACCCGAGTACTGCCAGGCAGAAGGGCTAACCATTTAGCCACTGTACTGTGCTGTATGTGAATGGATACACAAAGCAGTGGATTTCTGTTGGGGCACTTTGTACGGAACCCGAAAAGAGAAGGATCAGGGATGCTGTGTGCAAAACCATTACACAGATCAGGTAAGTATAACATGTTTGTTATTTAAAAACAAATCTGCCTTTAAAATCACTTTAGGCTATAGATGGATCGCAATTCATCCGAATCAGCAGGGACCTGCCAAATTTGGATCCATCTATGGGCAGGCTGGTTGTACAGAAATTGATCCCTTGATCGACTTCTGTACAAATAGCCTGCTGGAAAATTTTTGCTCGATCAGTGCCGCCAATTGTAGCTGGCGGTGCTGATGAGTGTATTCTGACAGCAGGGAAGCTTCCTCTCCTTATGTCAGAATACAGTAGCTCCACGGGAGGGATTCCCCCACCCACCTCAAATATGTTATATTGTAAAGCGCTAAACTGTTGGCGCTATATAAATCCTGTATAATAATAATAATGTGGATAAAGGAATCAATTAATTTTCTTTGTTTCTTTGTTTCGTTTCATTGAAAGAAAACAAATCATATATGGCCAGCCTTAGGCCTTGTCTTCATCACAGAAGGTTTCCAGCAGGGCAAACAGATATCTTTCCATATCAGAACTATAGGAATCTTTGTACCACATAGTAGAGATCACCGGGCAAAAGGTCTTGAAAGTTAGTGACAGAATGGTATAAAAAGCACAGTACTATATCTACCGACTTCAACACTTGATAAAGAGACATAATTAATGTATATGCCTCTTATGAATTTATATTATTCATTTTAGGGATGAACTATAATGCGTGTCCTTCATGGAAAGAATGTACCAACAATTCGCTATCCTCTTTCTGGAAGATTGCCTCTGCTACTGTAAGTGTAATGACTGAATCTATAATACTGTAGGCTAAACTAAAAAAAATTATTGCTCTAATGCTCCAGAAGGTAAGTCCCGTGGCTGTATGCTGGTGCTGGTAATGATTTAAGGCTCTTCAGGCTCATTTTAGACTACAAGAAACTGGTGCCTGGCCGCAAAGAAGACTGTAATGCTAAAATAGTGAAAAATGATTAAAAATGGCTTTAGCTCGGGTCTCCACCCATAGAACCCCCCCAACGCATTTCGTCCATGTGGAACTTAGTCATAGAGGCCTATGATTAAATCTCATGGTTCTCCACCCATCGAAGAATCCCCCTAATGCTTTTCACCCATATGGGGCTTAATCATAGAGGTCTATGATTAAAGTGGTTCTAAAGTCTCAGGGTTTTTTACCTTCAAGCATTCTATGCATGAAGATAAAAAAAACTTCTGCATGCAGCGTCCCCCCAGCCCCCCTAATACTCACCTAAGCCTCCTCTTGAACCAGTGATGTGCACTGGAGTCTCTGCTATCCCGGAACTCCCTCTTCTCATTGGCTGAGAGAGAAGCCATTGGCTCCCACTGCTGTCAATCACAGCCAGTGAGCCAATGAGAAGAGAGAGGATGTGGGGCTGAGCCATGTCCCCGTGTGTGAATGGACACATGGAACAGCGGGTGCCCCCCATAGCAAGCTGCTTGCTGTGGGGTCACCCAACAGGAGGAAGGGGACAGGAGAAGCCTGCGGGGGACCCCAGAAGAAGAGGATCAGGGCTGTTCTGTGCAAAACCACTGCACACAGCAGGTAAGTACAGACATGTTTGTTTTTTTTTCTTTTAAAAAAATCATGCTTTTAGAATCACTTTAAGCCCCACATGAGCAAAATGCATTAGGAGGATTTCTTCTATGAGTGGGGAACTGAGCTGAAGCCAATTCTCATAATTTTTCACTATTGTAGCTAAAAGTCTGTTGATCCTGTGTGTGGCCAGGCACCATTTTCTTGTAGTCTAAGACTGCATCTATACATGATATTTTAAAGTGTTTCTAAACCACTATTTTTTCCCTAAAATAAAGAACATGTTATACTTATGTATCCTTTGTAATGTATTGTACAGAGCCTCCCTGAACCTTCCCTTCTGGGGTCCCCTGCTCATGCTAATAGCTCCTCTTCTTCTCTGAGTTCCCCCGCAGCAAGCTGTGTGCTGTCGGGGCACTCCTGCAAGCATAGACAACACACAGCTCAGCCCTGTCCCTTCTCCCTCCTCACAGTTTGATTGACAACAGCAGGAACCAATGGCTCCCTCTGCTGCCTCAATGTCCTGTGAGGAGAGGAACAGAGAGCAGCAGAACTACAGACAGGCACAGTGCTGGATTGAGATAGGACCTTAGGTAATATCTAGGGGAAGGAGGGGGCAGGGGGGAACAACTACTGGAACATTTTTTACCTTAATACAGGGAATGCATTAAGGTAAAAATATGTTTTGAACCAATGTAACTGCTAAAGAGGACTGGACTGCTTCTGTCATGTATACATGCATATGTATTCTTCAACTCTATGTAAAGATATGACTGGAGAGCTGCAGGGAGATATGGTAGTGGGCAGGGGCGGACTGACAACTCATGGGGCCCCTGGGCAATAGGGGATCATGGGGCCCCTGTGTCCTTGCCCAAACTCAAAAAAGCCTATGAAAAAAAAGGTACCAGGGGCATCTCATGGGGCCCCCTACTGACCCCGGGCCCTCAGGTTGTACCCGAGTTTCCAAATGGTCAGTCCGCCCCTGGTAGTGGGTATAACAATTCTATAGATCAGGGGTCTTTAAACTTTCTAAACAAAGTGCCAGTTTATTGTCCATCAGACCTTAAGGGCCAGACAGTGACCAGTGGGAGTAGAAAAAGCCCCAGCATCTGTGAGATTAACCAATGTCTCAGGCTTGGTAATCAGCAGGAGTAAAAAAAATTGCATAGTGCCTGTAGTCAGTAGGAGAAGTAGTGCTCAATCATTGGTATTGTGGGGAGGAATAGTGCCCCATCATTGGTGTCAGTGGGAGAAATAGTTCCCTGTCGTTGGTGTCATTGGATGGCATAGTAGCTCATTGTTGGTGTCAGTAGGAGGAATAGTGCCTTGTATTAGTGGAAGGAACAAATGCTCCAGGGGCTGGGAAAAGACAAGCAAAGGCCTGCAGTTTGGAGACCACTGCTCTACATGTACATGCATCTTCTACTATTTTTTAAAGCTGAGCTGCAGCTAGACAGGGATATACACATGCTGTGACCGTGATGCTTTGCTTCTTGACCACAGAAAAAAAGTATGCCCCCTGTCACATTTAGGGGGCAGTGAATGGGGCCATGCAGCAACTGCCCTGCAACCGAAGTTGCGGTATGATGGTACAAACCTTAGAGGGTTAACACAGGTGCCAAGGAGGCTACACATCACCTCCTCACTGCCTATCATCCATCGTGGATCGCTTTTCAGAAAGGCAGAAAGGTCTGCTTCATGTGTATACTTATCTTATAGTAGCAACATTGAATGTGGAGACATTTGTTACTGAAGGTTCTAAAACATGATCAAGATAAGTTCTATTTATTTCAGGAGAACTAATTTGTTTTACTGGATAACCTAAAGCAAATACCAACCCAAAAAAAAAATATTTAAGGTCAATTGAAAAAAATGCCGTGATATTGTAATAACCGTGACCATTCTTACTCATTTATTTTTTGTCTTGTTTTCCCTCTAGTTTTCTCAAGCATCTTGTGGAACAGTACATGTGATGCTGAATGGTTCTGCAGATGGTGCCATCACCAGGAAAGAAAGGTGTTGAATTACTTTTTCTTCCAGTGCATGGAAAATACTCATCCTTAATACCTGTATTAATAAGAGGACCCCTGCCCTGATAATGTTTGTATTGTGCGTGTACAGTACAATAGAGGAATAGGAAGACACGGTACAGGTTTGAATCCATGGGAGTGTATTTGTGGGGGATGTACGGGGTGTGGGACCTAAAATGTTTCAAATACTGATGTTAAACTTTGAAAAAAATATCTTTTTTGGCATGTTCACATTTAGGCTGTGCATACCGTGACATTTTTTTTTTCTAGGTTTTGTACGCTTCACTAAATACAGTGTAGTATGATGAAACTGTTTAACCACTTGCCTACCAGGCACTTTTACCCTCTTCATGCCCAGGCCAATTTTTAGCTTTCAGCTCTGTCGCATTTTGAATGACAATTGCGCGGTCATGCAACACTATACCAATATGACATATTTATCATTTGTTTTCACACAAATAGAGCTTTCTTTTGGAGGTATTTAATTGCCACAAATTTTGTAAACAGGCAGTTTTCCTCCTTCACTGATGTGCGTTGATGAGGCTGCACTGATAGGCAGCACTGATGGGCACTGGTAGGCTGCACTGATGAGCACTGATGAGGTGGCACAGATAGGCAGCACTGATAGGCTGCACTGATGAGGTGGCACTGATGAGGCGGCACTGGTGGGCATTGATGAGGAGGCACTGATGATGGGCATTGAGGATGGGTACTGATAGGCACTGATGATGCTGCCCTGATATGCAGCAATGATGGGGCACTGAGGGGCGAAACTGCTGGGCAGCACTGATGGGTGGCACTGCTGGGCATAGATGGGCACTGGTGGGCAGCACTGCAGGGCACAGATCAACAGGGCACTGATCATTATTGCCCTAATGATCAGTGCCGATCTGCTTTGTGATAGCTGCCGGTTATCGGCAGTACTTTCCATAACTGTATTGTTGCTGTATTGTCTCCCTTTATATTGTAAAGCGCTGAGCAAACTACTGGCGCTATATAAATCCTGTGTAATAATAATAATACCAGCATGAGGAAAGTGCTGCTGATAACCGGCAACTGTATTTACTCTGTGATCTGCTGTGTCACTGGACAGCTGATCACATGGTAAAAGTCTGCTGTGATTGGCCTTTTGCCTCATCATGTCCATAGGACACAGCAATCACCGAGATCACCGGCTGCACGCTGCTGGGGGCGCGCAGGAGGACGCGTTCTGGGAGGAAGTCATATGACACCCTCCCAAAACTGGACAACCGCACTGTAGCCGTCATTTGGCTATAGCGTGGTAAGGATGTGGTTATAGAATAAAAGTGGAAAGAACTCCTTTGTAATAACATATTAGGGCACTGGACCCATTACAACCAACGTAAAATATCTGGTAGCAACTTATATTGGGAAGACTAATGAAATCTGACTTCTTTTTAGGGCAATGGATGGTTGTACATTCATTTTTTCTTTGTTATTAAGTGTGCCTGTAGTTATGATAAAATGAGTACTAGAATACAATAGCTGGGGCCAGCAGGGGCCAGCAAGTGCCGGTGTACAGCTTCAGTTTTCTTCCAGGTTTGATACCCAGGGTAAGCATACAAGCAAACACTGCTCAAGGTCGGTCTCCTGATTCCACCTTCCTGGACACACTTCCAGGTGCTGGCCCTTTCCATCACAAGTTCCAAATAGCAAGAAAGATCTGGTTGGCCGCTGATACAGTTAGTTATGATTAAGTGCTACGTGAGCATGATAATTGTCAGCTGGTGATGCTGCTCCCCAATATTTGTGACTTGGAATTGCTTAAATGAATATGCTGAAATAAAAGTGATTTTAACCGGATGTGCAGCCAACCAGATCTTTTGTGCTACTTGAAAACCTAGGGAGCTTTGAAACTGACTAGACCATAGAATAGCTTTTGTCAACCAGGCTACATAAAAAACTAGGGTTCCTCCTGAGGTTTCCAGGGGTTCCTTGAGCAGTTAGCAATGGTGAATTGATCTCCCACCTGCACTGACCACCAATGCAAGAGGGCAATTTTTCATTAACCACCAATGTACGGGACCACTTCTGTACTGGCCACTAATGTAAGGGGACATCATCATTTCAATAATATTACTGAAAAAATATTTTGTTGTATAGAGCATAGAGTGTTAAAAAATGTAACACTTGAGATTTGGATTGTGTAGTCATATGTTGCACTACAGGATGATAAAAGGCAGAAATTACACCTAACAATTGAGTCTGATGACAGTCTGTTAGCCATTGATATTGGGACTTATTTGGGTTACTATTCCATCTGACCACATGCTATGATCACCAATATAACTTGGGAACGTCTCCCATGGGCCAATAGGTGCACCTTCCTGACACAGTTATATCCTCTGGCTGTATCCTTCACTTAACTCATTGGGGATTTGTTTTTATATATGATTTTAGAATCTTTTATACCTTCCAATTGTCAGTATTCCTTGTTGGTCCTGAAGAAAGCATGCTGGTTTTAGTTTTGTATGTATAGATTGATATCATGTTTATGTGTTAAATACAGTGGAATAAAATAATTTTTTTAATATCAAGTGGCTACTTTTGTATAGTACGGCTACCTGTGCTATATACTGTATAAAGTCCCACATCTCTATACACTCTTTTTGTCTAAATTTTGGGTGATCCCCCGGTAAACCTTCAGCTTTTGAGTACTCTCTGAATATTTCACCTCTGAATACCTCCAATTTTCTTCAGCAGTTTTTTTTTATTCACAGCACCTTTCAAGAATATGCAAAATCTTGAGACACCCAGTCTTACATTTGGTCCTGTATCACATAAGAAAACCCCCTTTCACATCAGAGTTCTCAGCCCTCCTACCTTTCACATTAGAGTCCTTAGCCTCCTCCTCTTTCATGACTGAGTCCACCCCCCCAATTCACATCAGAGTCCTCATTTTCCCCCATTGACATCAGAATCAGAGTCTTCATCCCTCCCTTTAACATTAGAGTCATCATCCTTCTTTCACATCAAAGTCCTCATCCCCTCCTTTCACATCAAAGTCCTCATTACCCCCTTTCAGATCAGAGTCGTCATCCCCTCCTTTCACATCAAAGTCCTCATCCCCTCCTTTCACATCAAAGTCCTCATTACCCCCTTTCAGATCAGAGTCCTCATCCCTACTTTCACATCAGACTCCTCATCCTTTTCCCCTTTTACATCAGAGTTCTCATCCCTTTCCCCTTTCATATCAGAGTCCCTGAGACACATAGTGCCAGAATGGCAGTGGGTGGTAAGCGGAGCAGGAAAACAGAGGCAGACTTTAGTCCCCTTCTGAATGCTGCAGCTGCACCCAACTGCACTATGGAATCACCTGACGTTGTGCAAAATTACCAGATGCAGCAGAGCTCCCATGGAAAGCTGAAAGGGCATACCAAGATGCCTCGGCACCCTAGTAGAAAAACACTGTTATAGAGTATTCTTAGGCCAGAACAAAATAAGTGTACAGAGCAGGGGCGGACTGACAACTCATGGGGCCCCTGGGCAATAGGGGATCATGGGGCCCCTGTGTCCTTGCCCAAACTCAAAAAAGCCTATGAAAAAGGTACCAGGGGCATCTCATGGGGCCCCCTACTGACCCCGGGCCCTCGGGCAGTGCCAGAGTTTTCAAATGGTCAGTCTGCCCCTGGTACAGAGTTTCCCCACACATGGCTAATGTGTAAGGTAAAGTCTACAGGCTTGGAAAAATCTGTATGTAAATGGATAGAAAACTGGCTAAAAGATTGTATTCAGAGAGTAGTGGTTAATGATTCATACTCTGAATGGTCTAGGGTCATCAGTGGTGTACCCCAAGGTTCAGTGTTGGGACCCTTACTGTTTAATATATTTATAAATGATATAGGGTCTGGGATTATAAATCCCATTTCAGTCTTTGCAGATGACACCAAGCTGTGCAGTGGAATAACGTCCTTACATGATCTCTCCAATTTACAAGCCGACCTCAATGCACTGTTTAATTGGGCAACTATGTGGAAAATGAGGTTTAATGTTGATAAATGTAAGGTTCTGCACTTGGGGGCTAAGAATATGCATGCATCATACATACTGGGGGGGGGGTACAACTGGGGGAATCAATGGTGGAGAAGGATCTGGGAGTTCTGGTAGATCACAAGCTTAATAATGGCATGCAATGTCAAACTGCAGCTTCTAAAGTGAGCAAAATCCTCTCTTGTACTGAAAGAGGTATAGACTCCAGAGAGAGAGATATCATATTACCCCGGTACAAATCATTAGTAACACCTCATCTGGAATATGCAGTTCAGTTTTGGGCACCAATTCACAATAAGAACATTGGGGAACTGGAGAAAGTACAGAGAAGGGCAACCAAAGAGGCATGGAGGAGATCAGCTATGAGGAAAGATTAGAGGAACTGAATTTATTCTCTTTTGAGAACAGGAGATTAAGGGGGGATATGATCACCATGTATAAATACATCAGTGGTTCATATAGTGAACTCTGTGTAGAGTTATTCACCCTGAGGTCATCACAGAGGACAAGGGGGCACTCTTTACATCTGGAGGAAAAGAAATTCAATCTCCAAACACAGAAAGGTTTCTTCACAGTGAGAGCTGTGAAAATGTGGAATAGACTCCCTCAAGAGTTGGTTCTGGCCAGCTCAGTGGGTTGCTTTAAAAAAAGTCCTGGATTGTTTCTTTAATACACAGAATGTAACTGGATATAACATTTATAGGTAAAGTTGATCCAGGGAATATCCAACTGCCTCTCTCGGGATCAGGGAGGAATTTTTTCCCTGCAGGAGCAAATTGGATCATGCTTTGCTGGTTTTTTTGCCTTCCTCTGGATTAACTGTGGGTATAGGATTATAACTTTTTTTTTAACCTCCCTAGCGGTATTCCCGAGTGTAGCTCGGGGTAAAATGTCAGTACCAAAAGCGGTAACCCCCGAGCTACACTCGGGCTTACCATGCGGCGCTGCATAGGGAGTCCCTGCAGAGCTTACCTTGTCCTTCGCTCCCGCGATGTGTCCCCTGCAGCGTCCCTGGCCATCTCCTCCGGCTGATGCCGGCATCCGGCTTCTGTGTTCCAGGCCCTGTGACATCGGGACGTACGGGTGCCGCCGCCGCCGGCGGGAAATTTGAAAATTTTTAAAAAATTTCATTTTTTTCAAAACAATAGTAAACATACAGTGGGGATCAAAAGTTTGGGCACCCCAGCTAAAAATTTGTATTAATGTGCATAAAGAAGCCAAGGAAAGATGGAAAAATCTCCAAAAGGCATCAAATTACAGATTAGACATTCTTATAATATGTCAACAAAAGTTAGATTTTATTTCCATCATTCAAAATAACAGAAAACAAAAAAATGGCGTCTGCAAAAGTTTGGGCACCCTGCAGAATTTATAGCATGCACAGCCCCCTTTGCAAAGCTGAGACCTGCCAGTGTCATGGATTGTTCTCAATCATCGTCTGGGAAGACCAGGTGATGTCAATCTCAAAGGTTTTAAATGCCCAGACTCATCTGACCTTGCCCCAACAATCAGCACCATGGGTTCTTCTAAGCAGTTGTCTAGAAAACTGAAACTGAAAATAGTTGACGCTCACAAAGCTGGAGAAGGCTATAAGAAGATAGCAAAGCGTTTTCAGATGTCAATATCCTCTGTTCGGAATGTAATTAAGAAATTACATCAGGAACAGTGGAAGTTAAAGCAAGATCTGGAAGACCAAGAAAAATATCAGACAGAACAGCTCGCAGGATTGTGAGAAAAACAATTCAAAACTCACGTTTGACTGCACGATCCCTCCAGAAAGATCTGGCAGACACTGGAGTTGTGGTACACTATTCCACTATAAAGAGATACTTGTACAAATATGGTCTTCATGGAAGAGTCACCAGAAGAAAACCTCTTCTACGTCCTCACCCCAAAAATCATCGTCTGAACTTTGCAAATGAACATATAGACAAGCCTGATGCATTTTGGAAACAAAATTAGAACCACTTGCAGAATTGAGTGATAATGATTCGTGGAGAAATTCGTCATCAGACACTGAAAACAATTTTGCGACTTTGCTCAGTGATGTGCGAACTTGGTGCTATATTTCAAATTTCAGTGTTTTTGGTTTGATTATATTATTGAATTAAATGTATTATTATTATATTATTAAAAAATTTTTTATGATTATTTATTAAATTATAATTTATGATTTTGTGTTTCAAATTTTATCATACTTGATAAATCATGTTTACTAGACTCTAGTTCGGACAGATTTCAGTGAGTTATTCCTAAATATTACAGCCTACAATAAAAAAAACTACATATTTCCATGCAAAATAATGGTACCGCTTTCAGCACCAAAAATCTGAAATAATCATACCGTTAGGGAGGTTAATGGTTGAACTGGATGGACTTTTGTCTTTTTTCAACCAGATTTACTATGTAACTATGAACTGAAATCAGAAATGGCACCAAACAGGCACAGAGCAGAGTAAGCTCAGAACAAGTACAGCACTCTACAAATCCTGAGAAATTATGTATTCTTATAGTTTTGTAATGGAGATGTTTTTCACCTTTATAAACACATAGATGTTTTTCTTTTTTTCCCTCCTAGTATGTTAAGGACAGTGGAAATACCAAGTTTGAATCCAAACAAAGTATCTGAAGTGAAGCTTTGGGTGATTGATGATATTCAAGGACAAGACAGGTAAGGAAAATTTACTCACAGATAATGTTTCCACATTATTTTATTAAAGGATATGTAAACCCAAGGCAAAAAAGAGGTAATTTATTGCAGCTTAGTAGTGTGGCTACTTTTGTTTTCATTTTGCAAGCTAAGAACATTTTCAGCAAGTACATAAAATGTATGTTGATCCTGGCAGAAATGTGGTATTCTTATCCTGTGAACCTAATTGGAAGCACAAACACTGTTATCTCCCCTCTGTAAATGACTGTTCCTTTCAACCCCTGTGTATTGGCTGGGGTATGGGACAACCATTAGTATTTCACTATTCCAGGCTCTACTGATTTTATTAAACTAACAGTGAGGATGGGGCGCCCCCTTGTGTTCACACATCAATATTGACCATTTTTTGTGCCAGCAGTTTTATTTCCCCTCTATGCTCCTCCTGCGGTCCACTGTTAGCCATCTGGGCATGAGTGAGGCACAATATATGCAGGGATTGTCTCTCCCCTCTTTTTATTCTTTGCTTTTTTTTCCCGCTGCCTTTTTCTGGGGGTGTGACACACACGTCACAGTGATCTCATTCTGTTGTGGTGGTTTATTTGTGTGTACTTGTACGTGTAGCAATATTCTTCCTGATGAAGCCAATATGCCGAAACATGTTGAAAACATGTTGAAGTCACTACTTGAAGTTTCATCTGTATAAAGTTACTTATTTTATCTAACATATGCAGGAAGTTGATCAATGTCATGTATTTTAAATGTTTTTAAAGGATTTTTGTCTAACAAAACTATGAATTTTTAATATATAAATATGTTATTAGATGTGTAGGGTAGCTTTAAAGTCCTGCTTTTCTTTACACTTAAATTGTGTCTTTTTGTTTTCTTTATTTTTGGGGGGGGGGGGGGGGGGTTGTGGTGCCCTTGGTCCACCCACTGTCCATTCCTGTCTGTATATATTTTCCATCACAGATACTGTATATGCATGGATTAGTAAAATATATACCCTATATCTATGATGCCCTCTCTTTTTGTTTTCACGTCATGCCCTTGGTCCACCCACTGTCCATTCCTGTCTGTATATATATTTCATCACAAATATACGCATGGATTAGTAAAATATCTTTCCTATATTTATGGTGCTCTCTCTTTGGCTGGATGTGTAAATCTAAATTATGCTAAAAAAGCAATTTTTATATTTCAGAAATTCCTGCAACAGCGAGTCACTGCTTGAGCTTCAGCATTACATCGAAGAGCACAACCTGGCGTATTCCTGCATTGATAACTATAAGTGAGTATACTTCTTTGTCCTTGGCTTATACTGAAGAAATCCAAGCAATTAGCTAAACATACAGTTGGAATATAAACGTGTGAATTGTCTTAACTGACAAAAGATGTGTAATTCTGTTCAAGCAATTTTGTAACCCTGACACCCCTGCCAGACAACATAGCCAAGTCAGTGACATTCTTGGTTTCTACTGAATTTAAGCAATGCAGCTTGGCCTTCGGCTCATCCCAGCCTCCTAATTGTATAGCAATCAGGAACCACCAGTGACGTTAAACAATATAGCTTGGTGTTTGGCTTGCCCCAGCCTACAAATTGTATAGTAATGGAGCATCACTAACGAAGCTGAGCGATACAGCTTTGGTCTTTGGCTCGCCCCAACAGGGCTGGATCTAGCCTGTCTGATTTTTGGGGTGCAGTAAAAAAAAAGTCAGGGGGGCAGAGGATGCAAGGTCAGTAGGGCAGTGCATAAGAGTCAGCGAGGCAATGTACATGGAGTTATCAGGGCCGAGGATAGGGTCAGAAATTTGTAGGGAAGTGTACAGAGGCCATTCATTTGTAGGGCAGTGTACAGTGGGTTATGAAGGTAAAGTACAGGTGTTAGCATGGCAGAGGACAGGGGTCAGCAGGACAGAGGATAAGGGTCAGCTGTGCAGAGGACAGGGGTCAGCAGGGTGGAAGACAGTGGTCAGCAGAGTTGAGGACAGGGTCACTGCTGTCAGGGAACTCACAAGATCTCCTCTTCCCCACACAGCACATAACTGAGATTGGTATCCCTCCACAGTGTGTAACTGGGTACTGCAGCTGCCAATCTGATCAGGGAATTTCACAGGTCAGAATTGCAGCATACCAGCCAGTTACACATTGTAAACATTTGGGTTGTGTCTGTAAGGGAAGTTGATCTCAGCTATGTGTGTGTAGTGCAGGCAGTGCTGGGACAAGGTCAGCTAGCGCCCAAGCTGAAGGTGACAAACTATGTACCCCCCCCCCCAAAAAAAAATAAAAGCACTAATCACCATGTTCACCCCTAAGCATAAATTCCCTCTAAAAGCCAGAATTCTCCCCAAACAAAAACACACAAAAATTCCACATCCTCACAGTCCAAATTCCCCTCCCAGCACATATCTTGCCCCTCCCCCCCATCAATCCTACCTTCCAGTTCAAACATCTCCCTAATTCCCCACAAATCTCCCTCATCCAAAAAAATCCCCCTTCCTAGCACAAATCCTCTTTCCTTCTAAATCCCCCCTCCTAGCACAAATTCTGCCCCCAAATCCCCCATCCTAGTACAAGCCCCCCCTCCAATCACCCCTCCCAACACAAAACCCTTCCACCAAATCTACACTCCTAGAATGAATCCCCCGCCCCCAAATCCCTACTGCTAGCGTAAATCCTCTCCCCCCAAATCCCCACTCCTAGCGTAAATCCTTTGCCCAAATCCCCACTCCTAGCATAAATCCTCCCCCCAAATCCCCATTACTAATGTAAATCTTCCCTCTGTAAATCCCCCCTCCTAGTACAAATCCCCCCAAATCCTTTCTCTTAGCACAACCCACTCCTTGCACAAATCCTCCACAGTCCTGCCTCCTAACACATACCCTTCCACTCATTTTCTAGCACAAATTCCCCCCATTTTACGCTTCCCAGCACAAATAGCCCCCCATCATTACCTCCTCCACAAGCCCCCCCTTTTTCCCTCTCCCCCCTCCCTTTCCCTCTTCCCGCTTTCCCTCCTCCAATCTTACAGAATGGAACTACAGGAGTAGTGAAGAGGTGCGGGCTCTCTGTCAGGGGTGGACTGACCATTCAGGCATTGCCCGAGAGCCCGGGGTCAGTAGGGGGTCCGTGAGAGGATCACTGTCCAGTGACAGTGTGGGGAGCAGAGGAGGAGGCAGTCTCAGATCCCAACCCAGAAGTAGCTCACGTGTCACTTCATGTGGGGGCAGAGTGAGTCGGGTGATGGGTCCAGACACTGTGCTGATGATGGAGCTGGTGGGCAGTGGGAAGGTGAGAGGCATATCATTCATGGGTGTGGGGTGTTCACCGGACACACCGTGCACACCCCCCCCCTTCATGGATGATATGTATCAGGAACAAAGTCGGAGGTGATCGGTGCAGTGCAGGGACAGAGACAGCACCGATCTCCCTGCATGGATTTCAATGAAGGAGCTGAAAGCAGCAGGAGGGAGAGACTTCCAGCTGCCTCGTTGAAATTCATGCAGGGAGATCGGTGCTGTCACTGTCCCTCCCCTGCACTGATCTCTGACTGTGCATCGGATTTCCCTCCTGGCCCCACCCCCCCTCTGTGCTCCTCAGCACCCCCCCCCCCCCCAGCAGGTCTCTGATGCTTCGTCTTCTCTGACAGTGTCCAGTCCCTCCCCCATTCCTCCACGGCAGAGCAGGTGGAGGAGAGGAGAGGATCTGCTTTGCCTCTCCTGTCCAGAACAGTCGGCAGCTCTGTGACTCATTCTCTCCCCCTCTCTCGCTCTCTCTCCCTCTCCCCCTCTCTCTCTCTCCCTCTTTCCCCCCTCTCTTTCTCTCTCTCTCCCTCTCTCCCCTCTCTCTCATTCTCTCTCTCCCCCCCCTCTCTCCCTTATTCTCTCCCCTCTCTCTCTCCCTCTCTCTCCCCCCCTCTCTATCTCTCCCTCCCTCTCTCCCCTTCCTTTAATTCCTCCATCCCCTCCTTTCATTCTTCCCTCCCTCCATCCTTTCATTTCCTTCTTCCTCCTTCCTTCCCTCCTTCATCCATTCCCCCCTTCCTTCATTCCTTCCTCCTTCCCTTTTCTTTCTTCCTCCCCTCCTTCCCCTTCATTTTCCTTCCCCCATCCATTCCCTCCCTTTTCTTCTTTCCCCTTCCTTCCTCCCACCCCTCCTTCCTTCCCTCCCCTTCCTTCCTTCCTCCATCCATTTCCTTCCTTCCTTCCCTTTTCTTCCTCCATCCATTCCCTCCCTAACTTCCTCTCTACCCCCCTTTCCTTCATTCTCTCTCCTCTCTCTCCTTCCTTTCCTTCCTCCATCCCCTCCTTTTTCAATTCCTTCCTTTCTACTTCCATTCCTTCCCCTCCCCTTTTTCTTCCTTCCTTCCTTTCCTCCCTTCTTTCCTTACTTCCTTCATCCATTATCCTCCCTCCCTTTTCTTCTTTCCTCCCTTCCTTCCCTCCCCTTCCTTCATTCCTTCCTCCATTCATTTCCTTCCTTCCCTCCCATCCATTCCCTCCTTCCCTTCTTCTTTCCTTCATTTTTTCCTTCCTTCCCTCCCTCCCTCTTTTCCTTCCTTATTTCATCCCTCCCTTTTTCTTCCTTCCTTCCTCTCCTTCCTTCCCTCCCCTTCCTTCATTCCGTCCTCCATCCATTTTCTTCCTTCCTCCACCCCCCTCCCCCCTTCTTCCTTACCTTCATTTTTTCCTTCCCCCCTCCCATCTTTCAATCATTTCCTTCCTTATTTCCCCCTTCCCTCACCCTTCCTTCAATCCTTCCTCCCTCCATTTCATTCCTTCCTTCCTTCCAACATCCCCTCCTTTATTCTTTCCTCCCTTCCTTTCATTTCCTTCCTTCCTCCCCTCCTCCCCTCCTTCCTTTCCTCCCCCTTTCCCTTCATTCCTTCCTCCCATTTCCTTCTTCCTCCCTCCATCTCTTTCATCTTTTTTCTTCCTTCCTTCCTTCCTTCATTCCTTCCTTGTCCTTCCTTCCCTCCCCTTCCTTTTCCCTCCCTCCCCATTCCCCTTCATTCCTTCCCTCCTTTCCCTTCATTCCTCCTCCCATCCATCCCCTTCCGCCTTCTTTCATTCCTTTTGTCCTCCATCCTTTCCTTTTTCCTTCCCTTCCTACCTCCCACTCCTCTTCCTCCATCCATTTTCTTTCCTTCCTTCCTCCATCCATTCCCTCCCTCCCTCCCTCCTTTTTCTTCTTTCCCCTCCTTCCTCCATCTCCTCCCTTCATTCTTTTCTCCCACCCTCCTTCCTTCCCTCCCCTTTCTTCCTCCATCCATTCCCTCCCCCTCTCCCTTTTCTTTCTTCCTTCCTTCCCTCCATCCATTTCCTTCCTTCTGATATAAGGGGGTACAGGTTCTGTTTATTCATCCAAATCTAATGACAGCCCAACATATACTAGTGCTCCCTGTTCACTCCCTACTGACACTGTCCACTGCCCCCACAAAATCATTGTGAAAAAAATAATACAGAAAAGTTGTAAAAAATAATTAGATAATAAAAATTAAAAAATTCTGACACCCACACCATTGTTCTACTGACACCATCCACTGGCCACCAAAAAGCATTTTGAAAACAAATTATAAAAAATAATAAAACATTAATTTGTAAATAAATCATACAATTGTAAAAAAAAAAAAAATACTAATAAAAATGAAGAATTACTGACACCACCTACTGACACCATCCTACACAAACTAACCACCGCCATACACTCCGCACTCCTCTCCCTGTACATACTACCCACCACCATACACTCATACATACTCCTCTCCCTGTATATACTACCCACCACCATACACTCCATACTCTCTCTCCCTGTACATACTACCCACCACCATACACTCCATACTCCTCTCCCTGTACATACTACCCACTACCATACACTCCATACTCCTCTCCCTGTACATACTACCCACCACCATACACTCCATACTCCTCTCCCTGTACATACTACCCACCACCATACACTCCATACTCCTCTCCCTGTACATACTACCCACCGCCATACACTCCACACTGTACATTCCCTATTTAACATTACCTCATTCTGCACAATATAAGTCATCTCAGACACTATTTAACCACGCCCCTTTTAAGCCATGCCCAATGTTTTATCTCTCTCACACCCCTCCTCTTTTTCACCCTCTCACTCCCCTCTCTCTTTCACTTCCCCCACATGCAGGGGCGGACTGACCATTGGGGAACTCGGGCACTGCCTGAGGGCCCGGGGTCAGTAGGGGGCCCCATGAGCTGTCCCTGGTACCTTTCATAGGCTTTTTTGGGTGTGATTTGAGTGTGGGCGAGGACACAGGGGCCCCATGATCCCCTATTGCCCGGGGGGCCCCATGAGTTGTCAGTCCGCCCCTGCCCACATGGCAGCCATCTTTAAACCTGAAAGTGCCCAGTGGCTTCTACGGAAAGAAGCCGGGACATTCATGCAGTCTTTGCTGCAGTAAATATTTAAATGCCCCTTCTATGCAGCTGAGCTGCAATATGTAGGTAGGGTGTTGTGTGGGTGTGCTTGAGTGTAGGTGGGGGCACAGGGGGCCCCATTTTCTCTTACTGCCTGGGGGCCCCATGAGTTGTCAGTCCGCCCCTGCCCTCTGTGCTCTCCCCCCTCCTGTCATAACAGTGATTCTCCATTTGATAGATTACACAGGGTCACTCTTAGATAGGATGGTACATGGCTTGATAACCCACATTTCCAGGAGGTGAGAAGTCCTTGGAGGAGATAGGAGGTGGGTAATCCACTCTAAGGGCAACCCTGTGTAATCTGCCATATTGAGGATTGCTGTTATGACAGAAAGGAGGAGATCACCTCTTTATGGCTCTCTCTTCTCTGCTACGAACACTTCTCCTGTCTCACCTGTAATTAGTTCACACTATGTCAGGCTGCCCCTTGTCCCAGCTCAGCCATCCTGGGAACAATGTCCATGGGGGAGGCTGGCATGTGTGTGTGTGGAGGGGGCCCACAACTGAAATCTGGGGGGCGAATCCCACCCCAGCAAACCCCCCCCAGATCCAGCCATGCACCCCAGCCTGCTAAAACCCAGTGTTATAGCGACTGCACTCTGCAAGCAGTTAGATTGGCTACTTGTCCTTCCCCTGTGCTGCTGTGCAGAGGATTTAAAGAAACCCATATAACAATAGATTCAAGTACATACTGTATACTACATTTAATATGCGTTTAAGATATCAAGTATATAACTGAATTCAGTGGTGACCTTTTACTATCTGCCCAGAGCAGGGGTCTCCAAACATTCTAAACATAGGGCCGGTTTACTGTCCTTCAGACTTTAGGAGGGCCGGAGTGGCCAGTGGGAGTAGGAAATGTCCCAGCGTCAGTAGGAGTAAAAAAAAATGGCATAGTTCTTGTAGTCAGTGGAAGGTGGGGAATAAGAGGAATAGTATCCAGTCATTGGTATTAGTTGGAGAAACAGTGCCCCATCATTGATATTACTTGGAGGAATATTTCCCCATCATTGGTATTAGTGGGAGGAATAGTGCCCCATCATTGGTGACAGTGGGAGGAATGATGCCCTATCGTTGGTGTCAGGGGGAGGAATAGTGCCCCATCATTGGTGTCAATGGGAGGTATAGTGCCCCATCATTGGTGTCAGTGGGAGGAATGGTGCCCCGTCATTGGTGACAGTGGGGAGAAATGGCACCCCATCATTGGTGTCAGGAGCAGGAATAGTGCCCAATCATTGGTGTCAATGGGAGGAATAGTGCCCCATCATTGATGTCAGTGGAATGAATGGTGCCTCATCATTGGTATCAGAGGAAGGAATAGTGCCCCATCATTGGTACCAGAGGAAGGAATAGTGTCCCATCCTTGGTGTGATGAACTAGGAGCGCAGAGAGAGCTCACGGAGACAGATCACACGGAACCCGACGTGCAGGCGTTTATTGGGGAGTTTTTTTTGGGGTGCGGACAATCGAACAGATAGTCCACAGAACAACACAAGACACAGCGATACAGTAGGGTTCTCAGGTTGGCAATATGGGACTACAGGGGGCCGATAGTCCACAGAGTTCAATAGGACAGAGCGACAGGGCACCTCAGGGGTTGGAGTCCACAGGCAAGGGTTTCGGGCAGAATCGGGCTAAGTCCAGCACAGGGCAGAGATCTGGGCACAACGGTGTTAGTCCAATACACAGGATGCAGAGCAGAGAGGAGAGCAGAGTCCCAGTGTCCAGAAATCCGTACAGACAATGTAGAACCACAAGTCCCAGCAGTGCAAAAAGCAAAGCACAGTTCAATGCATCTCCTAGCAAGGCCTGCAGCCATGAGCTGCTCTGTCCATCCTGACTCAAGCTCTGCACATTCTGAGAGTTTTCTCCCACCAAAGGGACATTATATGATCCTTTCAATTTGACCAAGCCTCAAGCCCCCAGTGCCCACATGTCTGGCTTTTCACAGCCATAGGACACCATGCTGTCTGTGCCTCCTGCTGAGATCAACCTCATCTCCCACCCCCTGCGGGGCACAGGAATTCCAAGATTTAATTATGCAGACAAGCTGACTGCTTGACACACTTGTTGATTTCAACAAAACAACACAAATATAAAATAATATTCCTGATCTCCGTCACACTTGGTATTAGTTGGAGGAATAGTATCTAACTGTTTCTAGCAGTGGGAGGAATTGTGCCCCATCATTGGAGTCAATTGAAGGAAAAATGCCCCATAGTTGGTGCCAGTGGAAGAAATGGTGCCTCCTTGTTGGTTTCAGTGGGAGTAATAGCACCCCAAGGGTCAAATAGAGGCAGGCAAAGGGCCGCATTCAGCCCACAGGCTGCAGTTTGGAGACCACTGGCCTAGAGAGTTCAGCTTTAAAGTGAGAAGAATCTGCACAAATAAAATTAGCAAACTTGACATAGAATTTCAAAAACACAGTATAAATCCATAAAATAAATAATTTAAAGAACTTTATAGTGCACATAAAAAAAGAACAAAGTTAGGCAACATGTTTTGAGTATTCTCTTTCTAATTATCTTCCTCACTTTTTACTTGTCCCTGTAGCAGTATGCTTCCAGATAATATCAGCAATGACAACCAATAATAATATCAGCATTAATAATCACACATGATGTAAATAAGAGTAGTCATTCTATGGACAGTGATAATTATACATTGTTTTTTAATAAAGCTAAACTGATGTATCATCAGACAGACCTGCAGACAAAGCATTTAGAGTTCATGGTATGTATTCCATTCTGACATATAACATTTTATTTTGTCTTTTGCCAACAGGCCACTAACAACTCTGCAGTGCGTAGAGAACCCCAACCATCCTGTCTGCAATCTATGCAGCATTCGTTAAAATCAATCAGTATACCAGACATTCCTCTGTCTGCCAGCAGTGGGGACCTTATAAAGTATCTGACATACTTGTTACAGGATTCAGAATATGACATAATCATTATTCAGGAATGAGAGGATCATCTGTGGTAGTGTGCAGAATTTTAAAGCCAATCTCCACCTAAACATGTTTTAGTTTTACATAGAATGGAGAAAGATTAGAACCTCTGTCGAGATTTATATCACAAGAGTGTTTTTAACCTCTTCACGCCGGCGCCTCCCGGCCCTTTAAGAGTTCCAGAAGGCGGGGCGGGGTTTAGGGTCATGTGACCGCTGTGATGCGCCGTGACGGCGGTCGCATGATTGGGAAAGGTCCCGATCGAAAGAGGAGATCGGGACCTTTCCGTGAGTACCAGACATGTGTGCTGGGAGCGCGCTCTCGGCACCTATGTCCTTTTTTAATAGAATGCAAACGTGCGACCGCTCAGCGTCTAGGCCCAAACGCCGGGAGGCCGCACATTTGCGTTTGGCCGGCGTGAAGAGGTTAATACTTATTCACACCACCCGTCCATGTTCGGGCTCGTTTACGTTTGTGATTGGCGGGCAGTAAAAACTCGAGCTTGAGCCACTTTTTAATGCCCCTCAACAGCTCCCTTTTTTGCTGCAGAGGGTTCATGGCTAACGCAGAAATCATACCCACTGTCGCACTTGCCAGGCAGCACTTCCCACCAAATTCATTCAAGTGAATGGGGTCACGCTGCAACCATCTCGCAATTGCTCACAACTCACACAGTTGTCTGGCATTTAGGGGGTAAAAAAAGCAATACAGTGCCTCCGCACCTCCTGTCAAATGCTCTCTGAAGAGCAACCTGAACGCGGGGATGCTCTTCACAGAGCAAAGCAGGTGTAAACTAGGTCTTATGGTTCATAGAGCACATGCAAGCGGGTGTACGATGTGAAAGGCAGCGCTATGTGGCGTTAAAACACATCGTACTGTTTACTTTTTATTAAAAACTTTTTTTTTTACATTTCAGTCAACTGTGCGCCTCAACTAAAAATACAAATTTTATGCATTTTTACAGAATGCATGATGATATTCTATGTGCCCTAGCACTGAGACTGTGTCAGTCAATGCTGATTAGTGCAACTCAGCACACCTAGTATGAATGATCCCTTAATGGAATTTACACTAAGACTCATTCACACTGGTGGCTCCGGGCAGTAAAAGCAGGCAGCTGAGCTACAGTGTTACCCTGACTGCCCACCTAAAGAAGAGCATACAGCTGTTGAGAGCCATGCACATGCCACAGCATAAATTAAAATGCAAGTCACATTTGGTGGGCAGTACTGGGCTGAGCTGCACCTTGCCTGCAACTGTGTGCAGTACATGCAGTTGTGGCAGGGTGGTTTGGCCTTTGTAGGGTTAAAACAGGCAGTGAGGAAACAACTTATCAACTCCTCTCCACCGGTCAAACTCCTCTCCACCGGTCAAACTCTGAAAGGCTTTTCAGAGGGGCAGCAGAGGCTATTGCACATGAGAATTAATGTTTACCCACCCTCCATAGGCTTCTGACATAAGCTACCCTACCCACTCAACTTTGTTTCCATCTTCTTCACCACTGGCTGTTCTTGCACATGGAGCACTCATTTACAGGTCACGACTGGAAGTGATTGTAAAGCTCCACTGTAGACACGGATATGACAATAACACATCTTCAGTGTAGTGGATAAGGGAAAATTTCCTCGAAATGCACACATACAGAAGTAAAACCCTGACAGAGATTCTAGTTCTTCCACTTTATCTAAAAAAAACATAAAAAAAATTATACTTGGCTGAAATTTTATAACACACGCCAGGCAAGGGAGTAAGCCCTAGTGCAGGAGTGGCTAACCTGTGGCTCTCCAGCTGTTGTGGAACTACATTTCCCATGAGGCATTGCAAAGATGGGAAGTTACTGACTTGCAGAGGCATGATGGAACTTGTAGTCCTGCAGCAGCTGGAGAGCCGCAGGTTGGCCACCCCTGCCCTAGTGTATATGAATTCAAATGTTCAAGGCTTCTACAATTATACAATTCATCCACTAGATGGCAGACAATGTAAAGATTTCTTCCTCCAACATTTTTTTGTGAATGAAACTATTTGATGTTGTTAAACAGGAAAAGTAATAAAGTTTTTACAAACTTTTGCAAGCTCTACCAAGTTAAACAATACTTGTCTAGGATACTAGAAAGTGTTGTACCTAAACAATCCACTTGTCTATTGCACCTGAATATAAACACGAAACTACCTGAATACCTGTTGGGAAGCTTTTCTGCATTATAGTAAAATAAAAGCCTCGCAAACCCTGAAGCCAGCATAGTGCATAAAGGGAGGAATTTCCAAAATGTGTGTTAGCTTTTGTTTTATGTTGCATCTGTGTATTTTCTCCTGTTCTTGCTGATTCAACCTGTCCTGCCACTGGTCAATTTTTACACAGCTGTATCTAAGAGTTTAATAGAAATCAGCGGGCAGCATAGTTTTGCATTTGAGAAAACAAACAAAGCCTCAGTTGAACCAATAGCCAATTTCTATCCACCTGTCAATACTAGTACGGAAAACAATGATTCAAATAAAAGTGGATTGGGGATGTTCTGATGCTACATGTATGCCAAGGTAATTGTTTAAATAAATAAATAAATAGATAAATAAGTAAAAAAATAAATAAATATATATATATATATATATATAAAAACACAACCAAATGTGTAATGCCAAATTATGCTGTTGGTGAGGAGGTCTGTGAAGACCTGTTCTGATGCTACGTGTCTGCCAAGGTAATTGTTTTAAAAAAATAAGTACAATTTTTTTATATATATATATATATATTATATACAGTTGTGTTCAAAATAATAGCAGTGTGTTGAAAAACCTGAATAAAGCTCAAAATCCTTCTAATAGCTTTTATTTCCATACACACAAATGCATTGGGAACTCTACACATTCTATTCCAAATCAAAACATGAAGAAAAATATATCAAATTTGTGTTGTTCCTCTAAAAAAAATGAAGAAAAGTGAATATTAGACTGTTCAAAAAATTGCAGTGTTTGTATTCTTCTTTACAAACTCAAACATTCACTATATAAACTGAAAAATGTTTGAAGATTTTGCTTTCCTTTGAATCACTTAATTAATATTTAGTTGTATAAGCACTGTTTCTGAGAACTGCTGTACATCTGTGTTGCATGGAGTCAACCAACTTCTGGCCCCTGTGAACAGATATTCCAGCCCAGGATGATTGGACTACATTCCACAATTCTTCTCTATTTCTTGGTTTTGCCTCAGAAACTGCATTTTTGATGTCACCCCACAAGTTTTCTATTGGATTAAGATCCGGGGATTGGGCTGGCCACTCCATAAAGTCAATCTTGTTGGTCTGGAACCAAGATGTTGCACGTTTACTGGAGTGTTTGGGGTCGTTGTCTTGTTGGAACACCCATTTCAAGGGCATTTCCTCTTCAGCATAAGGCAGCATGAGCTCTTCAAGTATTATGATGTATTCAAACTGATCCATGATCCCTGGTATGCGATAAATAGGCCAACACCGTAGTATGAGAAACATCCCCATATCATGATGCTTGCGCAACCATGCTTCACTGTCTTCACAGTGTACTGTGGCTTGAATTCAGTGTTTGGGGGTCATCTGACAAACTGTCTCCGGCCACTAGACCCAAAAAGAACAATCTTACTTTCATCAGTCTACAAAATGTTGCGCCATTTCTCTTTAGGCCAGTCAATGTGCTCTTTGGCAAATTGTAACCTCTTCAGCACGTCTTTTTTTTCAACAGTGGGACTTTGCGGGGGCTTCTTGCAGATAGCTTGGCTTCACATAGGCGTTTTCTAATTGTAACAGTACTTACAGGGAACTTTAGACCTTCTTTGATCTTCCTGGAGCTGATTGTTGGCTGAGTCCTTGCCATTTTGGCTATTCTTCTATCCATTCGAATGGTAGTTTTTTCGCTTTCTTCCACGTCTTTCAGGTTTTGGTTGCCATTTTAAAGCATTTGCGATCATTTTAGCTGAGCAGCCTATCATTCTCTGCACTTCTTTATATGTTTTCCCCTCTCCAATCAACTTTTTAATCAAGGTACGCTGTTCTTCTGAACAATGTCTGGAACGACCCATTTTCCTCAGAATTTCAGAGAGAAATGCACTGTAACCAGCATGTACAACATTTGCTGCCTTCCTTCCTTAAATAAGGGCAATAATTGACACCTGTTTTTTAAAGAATGAATGACCTCACTAATAGAACTCCACACTGCTATTATTTTGAACATGTCCCTTTCAATGAGTGATTCAATTACACAGAATCAGCAGCATGCATGTCATGACTGTTGGGTCTGTTGGATTTCTATTACTCTACTACACCTGCTAGTAAATTATTTGCCATGTAGAAATATAATTTCTACCACAAACAGTGATTGATCAGGTTAGTGATGTCTGACTGCTATTATTTTGAACACAATTGTATATATATATATATATATATATATATATATTCATATATTCATATTTAAGATGAACTTATCCTTTAAAGTTTAACTATAGGCAAATCTTTTTTTTTTTTCATTTTGGGCAAAGTAAGGGGAGGGGGGGTATAACCCCTGTAAGGTTTATGCTTGCCCTCTGTCTGATTGGGGAGATTTACCTTAACTTCCTGTCCCATATCCAAAACAGGAAGTGAGAGGAAATCCCTGCAAATTAATAGAATCTCTTGGGAACCCCCAGGTCACCAGAACTAGTGTCCCCATTGGACGATTTCCCCTCTATCAACTCTCTGGGGACAACCCAAAATTTAGAATTTTCTTTTACTTTCAAGAATAATGGTAAACAGGACAAATAGCGAGGATGAACCTCCCTCACACAGACAGCAATAAAAACCTAACAAGTGTTCTAATCCCTCTCTCCTCTATCAAAAACAAAACAAAAAAAGTCAGAAAAGTACCTTCTATTGCTCCCTATTGCCAGACAGGAAATCTGATGT